GTAATGTTGCTACTGTTATGAATCATAATGTAAATATCTGATATGCAGGATGGTCTTAGGTGACCCCTGTGAAAGGGTTGTTCGACCGCCAAAGGGGTCGCGACCCACAGGTTGAGAACCGCTGACCTAGCTGGTTTGGCTCATTGTATAGAGCATCAGCCTGTGGACTGAAGGATTCGATTCCGGTCAAGGGCATGTACCTTGGTTACAGGCTCAATCCTGGTCCTGGTCTGGGTGTGTGCAGAAGGCAACCAATTGCTGTGTCTCTCTCACCTAGATGTTTCTCTCTCTGTCTCTCCCCTTCCCTTCTACCTTCTCTAAAAATCAATGGAAAAATATCCTCGGGTGAGGATAAACAACAAAAAATAGTTAAAATTTTTGCCAATTTTATTAAAATCAGAAGATTTCATAAAAGCCTACTTTCAGCTTCTCTTGAACAATCACAATATTGGGCACAGCTGGGCCTACATTTCTGCAAGGCAGTGAGCTGGAACTGCATGACTGCTGCCACATAAGAAGGAACCCAGGCTCTCTAGTTGCCATACTCCTCACTACACTCAGCTGTATATTTGAGTGAGTTTCCATTTCTCACTGCGAGTATGATTCTGCTTTTCATATACCTAGGCTGGGTTTGTTCATATATGTTAAGTGCCTGAGTCCTGTAGACATTTAAGTTTGCGATCTCTTCCTAGTGTCTGTCTCATGGACAAAGGGGGCAGTGCCCAGCCTCTGATTCTTTTTGTTTCCTTGGGATCAACTGAACATTCAGTATCAAAGCAGTAGGAACTACATGATGGCTAATGGGATGTGACATAAGTAAAATTACACAATCTTTTCACAATTCCTTTCACCAAGTAGTAATTACCTGTTAACCTGCTCTGTGTCCTGTCCCTCACCAGTTTCCATTGTGCCTCTTCTCTCTGTGTTTTATTTTGACTGCAGAAAGTCATTTAGAATTATAATAGCTTCTCTCTCATTAAAACAATTTATTTTTATGAAACTAGACCATGACCAGTTGTTTTGTGGTCCTGGAACTATATAATAATATGACTGTCTATTGTGGACACCGAAGACAGTATAAGATACTAAGCAACATCAGATTTTATCATTTACATGCAATGTTCAGTATGACATAAGGCCTAGAATCTTTAAGGAACTACTTATAAATACTCTTTAAAGTATTAACGGATAAAATATAACAAAAGTTTGAAGAACTTAAAGGTTCATCTTAAATATTTTACCCAGATATCAAATAATATATCTCTAGAGAAGGGAGAGAAGTACCGACTTCAGGCAATTGCCACACGACCTTCCTTTAGAAAGATACCAGAGCTTGAAAAATCATCCCCAAACCTTATTCTTTCTTGTTCTTTCCTTATATATTTAGGCACTAAGACAGAAGATTCAAGGAACTATTAGAAGACACATATATTTATGTTTTGAGGAAGGTGAAAAATCGTTTTTGCTAACCAGGAACCCAATCCTTAAGACTAAGCAGGATTCATAGAGATAAAGTTCTTGGTAGGACATGCTAGGTTAAGTGAGTGATTAAAGCTTTTGAAGTAGAACACAAGAAGTTTCCTCAAGGCCTGGTCATCCTGAGACCTAAAAGAACCTGGAGAAGCTGAGTAAACAGTGCCAGAAAGATTAAGGCTGGTACCAGAATGGAGGAGTGGCAGATGTGGGGGCAAAGTGCAGGTGTGAGTGAAGTTTAAAGACTAAAATTAAGAGTTTTAATAAGATGAATAAACCTGAGGATCTAAAGTATAAAATGGTGACTATAGTTGATAACACTACACTGCAGGGCAGGGACAAAAGAATAACTACCCCTACTTCATTCTTTTCCACTTTTCTGATTTCCTATCAATACATACTATTGGCCAAGCCCATTCCTAAGCCAGAACTATCCAGAAGGTAGTTGGAAGTATAGGTTTGAAGCCTAAAAGAGAAGTAAAAATCTTACTATAGACTTGGGAGTAAAGATATGCAAGATGGTACATAAAGTCATGGGCATTCCATGGGGAATATATAGGAGAATTATAGAATATAGCCAAGAGGAGGAATCTGGGAAACATAACAATTGAAGGCTGAGACAGGATGGTCAGTGGAGCAAGAGAACAATGATACTAGAGGCTCACTAATAGAAACCAAAAGAGCTGAAACATTTCTAAAAGGAAGGAGTTATTCAGAAGGTCAAATGCTACAGAAAAATCAACTGCCACAAGGCTTCCAGTTCTCTACTGGGTTGGAATCCAGGAGGTCACTGTTATTGCTAGGGAGAGCATCCTCCATGAAGGACATGTTAGAAGCCCGAGAACAGTACATGAACAAGTTGGAGATATCTTTTGAGATGCTGAAAAGAAGTCAGAGAGTCACCTGAGAGGGTGAAACTTCTACATTTCTCAAAAAATCTTTATGTACACTGTCATATTTCATATTTTAGAAGATAAGTATGGAAACTTTTGTTTGGGATCACAATATAAGTCATATTGATAAGACGGCTTGCCTGTCAGCAGCTTACCTGGGAGAAGCAATTGATATTTTAGATTTCAGTTTAAGAGGAAATATTATATAAAAAACTTAAACTAAATACTAGTAATCAAGGCTTTTATAATACACATGAAAAATTGAAACTAGAGAGGTAAAGTGACTTAAAGTTGTTCAACTAATTAGTGACAGAGGCAATATCACTTGGTTTTGACAGATTTGATTTTCATTCATTAAGTACATCTATGTGCCAGGCAGTATGCTAAGCACTTTCTACTTATGTTATTTTTTAATCTTTAAAACTAATTATTACATCAGTACTATTATTAACATTTTGGAAAAGATAAAACTGAGTCAAACAAGATAAAATAGTATGCCTAAGATCACATTGTAAATGGTGGACTTAGGATTTAAACTTAGGCAATCTGAGTAAAGGGCTAATGGTCTTAATCACGACCATTTTCTAGCAGATGTAGCACATACACTGTACAATTAACATTGAAACTATTAGAGACATTCATGTTTCCCTTTTATAGAGAGGAAGCATAATTTTAATATTAAAGAGTCTCTCTGGTTTTGGCTTTAGTGGGAAAGAGTTAAAAACAGAAAAGCTACAACTCGATAATTATTGAAAAATTAATTTATTAAATTGGCGTTTTCCTTTGACATACATTTTGAAAAGAAAAGTATAGTTGTTTTGTTTTCAACTACAAATGTAATGTAAATTATTACATTTAATAATAACATGTTCAGAGAAGCTTACTGTCATGATGTAATAATACATTTTTGCCAAGGTAATTATTTAAATAATAGGCTATTTCACTTCTCCATCCAAGTCATTTGAAAAAAATAAGCAGACATTTATCTGCTTAGTATCGGAGGCAGATGGCAATGCATATGCCTCACTGGTATGCCTCACTGGTGTTTTTCGGAGTGCAGGGGACAAGGCAAGTCCTAAATTATTTAGGAGAGGAGAAGATTAACCTCAACAGGAGGATCATCCTATCGACAACTTTATATAAATTATATGAATGATCTAATTTAGCTTGACACTCCAGTGGTAAAATTCTATAAATATTCACTGATGTTTTTATATCCACCTTAAGCAATGAATGGAAAATCTAGTAAATAGAGCTGATATTTGGTGGAAATGTGCATAGCAGACTGAGCCCATTACATAAGAATTGGCTGTTCAGCATTTACTAAATGGTGCTGCTTACTGACTTAACAAGAATGAACTAATAAGCCTTAGGGTTTGCTTCCATCCCAAATAAGTGCAGAAGAATGAAGAGTCTGGCACCAGATTATTTTCTTGCCAGAACATGATAGGCTAAGTGCATGAGAGCATGTAGACCAAAGGTTCTCCGTGGTGCAAGGAAGAGAGGGGTGCCCACAGAATTCCCTGCCAGGATTTTCCAACTTCACTCTCTAGATTCCACCAACACTTCTCACCAAGTTAGGAGTCAGAATCTCCAGGAAAAGGGGCCAGTATCTCTGGTTCTCATGTTTAGTTACACATTAGAATCACCTAGGTGCTTTTAAAAACTACTGGCATCAAATATTTTTTGAATCAGAATCTACAGTTGGGGATTGAGCTGGTATAGAGTTAGTACTTTAAAATACCAAAATATTACAGTGAAAATAAGAATTTCAGAAAAAAATTAAAATTTGACAAATTTTTCTAATTTTTAGCTAGGATTGAGCACCACAAGTTAACCTATACAGGTTTAAAATCCTCACAGATAATTCTGATATTCTAATTCTGTGCCCATTCCCCCAAATACACAATTTTCTCAAGTCCTGGTTGAGAACTCTAGACCTATATGATGGTGAAGAAAATCATGATGGTGAGAATGGGTCCAAGTTTCTCAACCTCTGCACTTTTAGGCTTCATAATTCTTTGTTGTTGGGGGGAGGAACTATGCTGTACATTGTAGGGTGTTTACCCAGCATCCTTAGCTTCTACTTACTAGATGTCAATTGCATTTTCTCCCCAGTTGTGACAGTCATTAAATGTCTCCAGAAATTGCCAAATGTCCCCTGGGAAGCAAAACCATTCCTGATTGAGAACCATAGATCTAGGAAATAAACTAAAATGAGACCTAACAAGGGAACCTGGGGTGGATCTGGCTGGATAGAATCAGATATCCTTAAATGCAAACTGGAATGCATGAAGGTTTATCTAGGGCTTTATGTTTTATCCAAAGAAGCCATAGAAATATTTGGAATTTGTTCTAATTATCTATTCCTCTGTAAAAAAAACAAACAAACCACCACACTTCAAACTTAGCTTAGAACAGTGACAACATTAGTTTTATTCACAAATCAGAAATTTGCCCTTAACAAGGTGAGATAACTTGTTTTTCTTTACTTGGATTGCTCAAATGTTGATGGCTCGAATCATCTAAGACTTCACTCACATGTCTGGTGGTTGATGGCTGGCTGTCAACAGGGGTTTCTTTGGGAGTTATAGCTGAAAGACCTGCACGTGGCCTTTCCTTGTGTCTGCTTAGCTTTCTCACAGCATGGTGGCTGGATTCCAAGGGCAAGTCTCCCAAGAGAACCAGGCGGAAGTTATGTTGCATTTTATTCATTGGTCTTGGAAGTCACATAACATCACTTCACTGTAGTCAAAGTCTGTCCAGATTCAAGGAGAGGAAACATGCACCCCTTCTTTTGGTGGAAAGATGTCAATGTCTCCTTAAAGGAAAAGCATAAAGGTATGTATTGTACAGTCACCTTTAGAAAATGCAATCTGCCACAAAGTTGAAAAGGCAGATCATTTAGGATTGCTTACCTGGAGTCTTATGACAGTGCTATCTAAAGATTCTTCTACGGACCACCTATAGCAGTAAGCTGGGGAATACTTGTTTCAAATGACAATTTCTGGAGCTATCTCAAAGATTCTCACTTGGAAGGTCAGCTTTAGGCATCTGGTATCTGGTTTTTCACGAAGTCCTGAAAATAATCCTTATGCGCATTAAGACTTTTCTTTGTTTATACAGATGCTTTAACATTTTCACATTTCTATTACATATTTATTCATTTTCTTCTGTGAAACAAGGTGGTGATACAGAGAGAGCTTTGAGGAATGTAGCTTTCAGAGAGCTGCTGCAAACATGCCTTCGCATTTGTAATATGCACATGTTACTTGTCAAAAGACACTTTGAAAGTAGTGTTGCTGATTGGGGTTTTGTGGACATTTGATTTGTTTTCGTTTCCGTGCATGTCAAAATGAAAAAGGGAAAGAGATAACATTATAGTACAAATCAAGAAATTCGGGATTTTTTTTAGTTTAGTTTTATGGTCAAATTTTATGTTACATTTGAAAACTATATTTTAAGCATCAAAAGAAAAACCAACATTTATAATGATGTAGCTGAAGTTGCGTCATTAGGACAGATCCTTTTTAGAAACTTAAAAGGGTAATGTATATGGTAATATGAATTCCATTTTCAAGGAGCATCTTAAAAAAATGTGGGAAATAAAATGCTAGCATAGGGCATCTCCCTGATTTGAATTTTGCTGATCAAGCAATGACCTAAAATATTCTTGTGAAAACAGCATGTAAAAAAAACCCAACCCAAAACCTTTGTCCAGTCAAAATAGAATGCAAAAGCTCATACTTTACTTAGAGTCTACTACTATTAACTTGCCTGAAAATCTGATAGCAGGGTTCCAAGTTTTAGAGCAGAGGAAAAACATCGAGTTAGAATGGGGAGCTACAGTTCGGCACAGGAGTCTACAGTATGGCACAATGAGAGCTAGCAGCAACATCAACAAAAATTTAATTATTTCAAAGCAGATTAGTTTTAAGTGTTTCAGAGTAAAGAAACCCCCTTTTCCCCCTCATTACATTTAAAGGTACCACTATATTACAGAGACACAACAACTATTTCTCAATATTGTAAGCCTGAGTTTTGAAAAGTTTATTTTAAATATATTCTGTTTAAGAGATTAGAGAAATATTTAACAGTTTTAGAAAAAAAACCCTTTAACTGGTTAAAATTAAATAAGCTTTGATGCTTTTAATACAAACTAAAATTATTTTTTTTTGTAGATTGCTTCATTTGCGTAAGATGCTAGATAATGTGTTTTTTAACTGGTGTACAAATAGATCATTCTAATTACATAAAACTATTGTTTTTGCTAAATTAAAGCTTAGGTGTGATATAAAATCTAATTTATATATTTAAATCTAATATGGAAATCTATATCAGCATTTCAAAGCTATATTTATATCAGCAAATGATAACAATCTGGGAAAGAATGGCAGAACCAAGTGGTCATCCATCTGGCCTACCACCAAGTCCTATTGAGTATAGTTCCAAAATTCATCTCAAATGTATTCACTTCTCTGTGCCTCTGCTGTCACTACCCTTGTCCATGTCACCACAGGTCTCCCATCTGCATTTATGTTCTAGACTTCTGTCTCCATCTTCTCTTGACTGTCTCCAATACCTTCTTGCTATGGTTATTTTTCATTTTATTTCAAATAAAACCCAAAGTCCTTAACCTACACAATTGGGTTCCTTCTTACTTCTCCAATACTGTGGCATGAAACTGCTTTTGTCCCTCCCTCAGTATTTTGGCCTTTGCACAGACAATGCCCTCTGCCTCTTTCTATTCTTGTCAGAGCTGGCTCCTTATTCTTTACTAGAGGCCTGGTGCACCACATTCATGTACTTGGCGGTGGAGGGTGGGGGAGACGGTCCCTCAGCCTGGCCTGCGCCCTTTCACAGTCCAGGAGCCCTTGGGGGATGTCCGACTGATGGCTTAGGCCCGCTCCCCACAGTCGGACATCCTTAGCGCTGCTGTGGAGGCTGGCCTCTGTGCTCACCAGCCATCAGCTCAGTTTGTGGCTGAGCAGCGCTCCTCCTGTGAGAGTGCGCTGACCACCACCGGGGGCAACTCCTGTGTTGAGCGTCTGCTCCCTGGTGGTCAGTGCGCATCATAGCGACAGGTCGTTCCACCATTTGGTAGATTCGCATATTACCCTTTTATTATATAGGATATAATAATCAAGAAACCTTTCTTGATTACCCTACCTATAGTGTAGGTTTGTTTCTTCTCAACATTACCTTCTATCGCAGTACATATGTTAAGTTTCCTTGTAGTTTTCTTATTGATTGATTGATTGATTGATTGATTCCTTTACAAGCCCCATGAGGGCAAAAACCAGTCTGTTTTAGAGAACACTGACAATGATGGATACCTGGCACATAGTAATTGCCTAAAAATATATATTTTGAATTAATAAATAATGAATAGTGATCTATAAGTAAAATAAAGGCTAAATAAATGGAATTCATAATGGCAAGTACTCATGCTAATAAAACATGTCTACACATCAAAAACTTATTTTGGTGATTCATAAATGCTTTATGGATATGGATTTTGAAATGAGAAGTTTGTAGAGCTCATATCTAACTTTTCACTATGATATAATAGCTCGCAATAGTTTAATTCTTGAAGCATGACTTTGTCAGAATCCAAGTAGGGGTTGGAGATAATGTGCTTGATTAAATCAAGTGTTTCTGCGGAGGAAAAAGTGAGTGAGAGAGTAGGATATGGAGCATGGAATTATTAATTCTGTTATCTCATTTACCCTCAAGCATAATCATGAGGTTACACCTGTTATTAATGTTATCTGTAAAATTTGAAGAGTTTAGCATATACATTGTATTCAGCAATGGTTTTATAAACATCAGTTTGATTGAATCACCTTGGAAAGTTATAAATGAAAAACATTTCTCTTTGTTTAGACGTCTAGATTCGTGTCATGGTATCTGATTAATGATAATTCTAATCCAGATTATGACAAAAGAGAAGTCAGTTTCTTACATCATTGGCAACTGGTGCATGCTTCTTGAGTCAGAGACTGTGATGTAAATATTTTCCTATTTCCAAGATGGGCCTAGGATTGTGGGTGGTGCATAATAAGGACACACTCTTTCTTGAATGAATAGAAAATTTTCAGATCATTTAGAGGATCTACTTTAAATTGCTTTTGTATACAGAATATATTGGGAAGTGGATTTAATTATATAGGCTGTTAATGTAAATACACAAAGTGAAAAAGACATACTGAAAGAAATCTCTTTACCCTATACTTATGTAGACACATGTGATCATACAGCCAACAATTTTATTATAAAAGGCATGCACAGTAGGTCTTATGTAAAATACAACAAGAGAGAAACCTTTAGGTGGCGGCCAAGAGCTATGATTATGAATTCCTTAGCTTGCTTTTGTGAGAATTTATGATCTTGTTTGAAAGTAGTAATGTTAAACGGGCTATTTAAGTCAGAGTAATTCAGTACAAAGCAAATACAAGAAACAGAATTAGGCCTAGAAAGAAATGGATTTGAATGTTAATATCAAACAATCAAATCTTTGATTAAATAACAGGTATTCTGATTATGAGTATAAGTTCAAAAACTCAATCTGGAAAGATAATTGGTATTGAGACATGAGATTGGGATTAATTATCCTTGACAGTTAAATAATTGTTTTAATCTTGAAAGAAATTATCTTTAAACAAAATGGTAGCAGTTTAAGAACTGAGAGTGTAATAAAAATGTCAAAACTGTCCAGATGCTCATTGTGCAATTGGAAACTCCACTCAAAGTTGACACAAGGTCACAGAAAAAAAGAAGGTCAGAGATCTAACTCATTCTTGCAACATCTGCCAGAAGCTATGGCTTCTTGGAGTACTAATGTTTTTTCTTTTCTTCTTTCATTGCTCCTTGAAATGAAAGTTTATTATCAAACCCATCATATACCTCTTGCAGTTCTAAAAAAAAAGAGAGAAAGATTTATTTAAAATTTTTAAAGCATCATGATTTTGTGATGGTATGCACTAGTTTTCCCTCCCTGCCTGTTCTTTTCATTAATATAAATGTCTACCAAAAGAAGAAACATTTTAAACATTACTATTAGCTATTGCTTTATAGTAATTTTCATTTTAATTTTTTTCTTTAATGATTACCTCTGTTAGCATTTAGATTTGTGATGTACCCTTTGACAACACTTTTGGCAGCACAGACTAAATTTGGATGAAGTTTGGATATCACTAAATCTGTGATGAAGTTTCTCTAGGTCAATTCTTGTCTACTTAAATAGCCCATGTGTAACCTCAACTGAATGAATATCCAGGATTGTGGAGGAGAGAAAACAATTACAAGATAAATTCAGTACACATGGAGTTAACAAACTTTCTAAATGCAACAAGAAAACAGAAACAAAATACTATAGCAAAAACGACACATTATTATCTATATCATAAAAGGTCTGTGGTCGTGACGCATGACCAAACAAGCAGCGGCTCTCACAGTGGGCAGGGCAGGGTGCTGGCAGCATCCGCAGAGTGTGCAAGGCGTTGCGGGACATGGCCCTGATGGCAGGCTAGGCCTAGGGGACCCTACATGCACATGATTTAATCGTACGCTGGACCTCTAGTTGAATAATAAAAAAGAAGACAAGGAAAAGTGTGGGTTGATATTAATAAAGAAAAGTTCCATAGAGAAGATAAATAGACTGATGGTTTCCCAATGCATTATTGAAAAGTAAACATTTTAATTCCTAAGAAACTCTATTTCAATCACATATTTAATATTCTAAAACAATGCTGAAGTAATATAGATGAAAGAGTAGCAGTGAACATTCCTTATCTAAATATTCTCAACTACATTAGCCTTCTCTCAGAAAACCCCTTAGTATGCTTCTGGATTGCATAGCAAACTGCACAAGGAGAATTAGCCAGAAATTATGTACGTTTTCTAACAATATAAAGTTGTCTAGGAATAAAGTTGGGCTAAAAGTCTAGAAAATTATACCTATGGGATTTATGTGGTAGAAATGTAATATTTTCCTGTGTCACCCTGGATGTCTTAAAAAATGATATTCCTGTGGCTAGAAATCAGGAGAGTTGGCTCTAACCCTGGTTCTGTTGATATATACATGGTGATAAAATTGTGGTCAGGATATTAGAGATATTGTGAGTTTAGTTCCACACTACTGCAATAAAATGAATATTACAATAAAGCAAGTCACACAATTTTTTTGTTTTCCTAGTGCATATAAAAGTTATGTTTGCAGTGTACTGTAGTTTATTAAGTATGCAAAGTATTATGTCTAAAAAATGCACATGCCTTAATTAAAATATACTTTATTGCCAAAAAATGCTAATCATCATCTGAACCTTCAAGAGTTGCAATATTTTTGCTGGTGGAGGGTCTTGTCTTGATTTTGGTGACTGCTGACTGATTGGAAGTGGTTGCTAAAATTTGGTGTGGGTGTGGCAATTTCCTAGAATAAGGCAATGATGACGTTTTCTGCATCAGTCAGCTCTTCCCTCTATGAATGAAATCTTTGTGGCATGAGATGCTCTTTGATAGCATTGCCCACATTAGAACTTCTTTCAAAATTGGAGTCAATTCTCTCAAACTATGCCCCCTGTTTTATTAACTAAGTTTATATAATATTCTAAATTCTTTGTCATTTCAACAGTCTTCACAGCATCTTTCCCAGGAACAGATTCCATCTCAAGAAACCACTTTCTTTGCTCATCCATACAAGCAACTCCTCATCTGTTAAAATTTTGTCATGAGATTGTAGCAGTTTAGCCTCATTTACAGGCTCCACTTCAAATTCTAGTTCTCTTGCTATTTCTACTACATCTACAGTTAGTTCCTCCACTGAAGTCTTGAACCTCTCAAAGTCATCTATGAGGGTTGGAATCAACTTCTTCCAAACTCATGTTAATGTTGATATTTTGACCTCATCTGATGAATCACAAATGTTCTTATTGGCATCTAGAATGGTGAACACTTTCCAAAAGCTTTTCAATTTCTTTGCTTAGATCCATCAAGGAATCACTATCTATGGCAATTATAGCCCTGTGTGATGTATTTCTTAAATAATAAAACTTGAAAGTTGAAATTTCGCCTTGATCCATGGACTGCATAATATTGTATTAGCAGGAATGAAAATACAGTAATCTCATTGAACATCTCCATCAGATGTCTTGGGTGGTCAGGCACATTGTCAATGAGCAGTAATATGTTGAAAGGAATCTTTTCTTTTTCTTTCTTTTCTGAGCAGCAGATCTCAGCAGTGGGCTTAAAATATTGTAAACTGATATGCTGTCATCCAGGCATTGTTCCATTTATAGAGCACAAACACATTAGATTTTGCATAATTCATAAGGGTCCTAAGGTTTTGGGAGTGGTAAATGAGCATTGGCTTCAACTTAAAGTCACCTGCTACATTATCCCTTAATAAGAGAGTCATCTTGTCCTTTGAAGCCTTGAAACCAGGCATTGACTTCTCACTAGCTGTGAAAGTCCTAGATGACATCTTTTTCCAATAGAAGATTGAAAATGTATTGTTTAGTATAGCTACTTTCATTAATTATCTTAGCTAGATCTGCTGGATAACTTGCTGCGGCTTCTACATTAGGACTTGCCACTTCACCTTGTACTTTTAAGTTATGGGCTGTCTGCCTTTTTTTAAACCTCCATCAGCCAACTTCTGCTAGCTTCAAACTTTTCTTCTGTAGCTTCTTCACCTCTCTCAGCCTTCATAGAATTGAAGAGAGAGCCTTGCTCTGAATTAGGCGTTGACTTAAGGGAATGTTGTGCCTGATCTGTACAGACCATTAAACAGTTGTCCATATCAGCCATGAGGCTATTTGCTTTCTTATCATTACTCTGTTCACAGGAGTAGCACTTTTATTTTAAAATGAGAGACATATGACTTCTTTCTTTCACTTGCAGACTTAGAGGTCATTGTAGGGTTATTGGCCTAATTTTAATATGATTGTATCTCTGGGTATTGGGAGGCATGAGGAGAGGGAGAGAAATGGAGGAATGGCCGGTAGATGAAACGGACAGAACACATACCACATTTATCAATTAAGTTCTCCATCTTGTATGGGTTTAGTTTGTGGACCCCAAAACAATTACAATAATAATATCAAAGGTCACTAGTCACAGATCACTATAAAAATATAATGAAAAAGTTTGAAATATTGTGAGAATTACCAAAATGTGATACAGAGACAATGAAGTGAGCAAACAGTGTTGAAAAATTGTGCCAATAGACTTGCCACAAGACTTCAATTTATAAAATTCAGTACCTGTGAAGCACTATAAAGCAAAGTGTAATAAGGAGGTATTCTTGTACTTTGTTTCTGTGGAAGCATCCTTCTTCTCTGTAACATGAGAGAGGGAAACCAGATGATTTCCAAGTTTTTTCCCCAAGTCTAAAATGTTATGTTTCAGGATATTTTGAGAATAAACCAAACATTTATCATAGTAAAAAATTTTTCCATCTGATGAGAAAGTGCATGGCATAGAATCAGTGAGCATTGCAAAATGAATCCAGCTCCATATAGGGCCCCACACATGTGTCAAGAATGGCCCCACCACCTTGCAATGTTCAACTTGCATGACCACATGTGTTGGCTCTACAGTTAGATCAGAAGTAAAGAAAAGAAGATATGGAAAATTCCTCTGTACTAAAAAATTGTATATAATAGTGGTTTAATTTCCAAATTATGTTTTTTTAAGAACCTGGGGTCTTTAAGCAAGATAAAAACTGTTATATGCAAAAGCAGTAAACTGAGGAAAACAAAAAAGTGTGTGAAAATGAGCGACCAAGTCTTTGAGTGCTATAAAGCCAGTAGATGTTGTGCGGTACCAATATTCTCTCATGGATTTAAAAGACTGGAAATTTGTCAGTGGATGAACTTGACTTTTAGGTGCTTAATAAATATAATCTACATTAAAGATTAATTTCAAGTATACCCACACATAAGTAAAGAATCTGCCACTATGCCAGTGGATTTAGTTATATATAGCTTTCTCATATAATTTATAAAACTATATGGTCATGAATAAATCAGATATTAGGATATATATCTCATAGTTCAAAGAATGCATTTAAACCTGAGTGGACTATTTATCTTTACACTATTGTATACTT